GTAAATAAGTTATCCATTTTTTATAACTAAAAATACAGTGAGTTGATTTGTATGTATAGGTAAGAAATTATACCCTGTTTCCTTCTTTTTGTTGTGTGTTATGTGTGTGTATATATATATATATATATATATATATATATATATATATATATATATGTGTGTATGTATCACATTATGAAATGGACAAAGTCCGACAATTATAAACAAAAATATATATGTATATAATCACTTTAAATGTTTTTAAATAATATATATATGTGTGTGTGTTGTCACTTATATATATATATATATATATATATATATATATATATGTATTAAATGTTTTTAAATAGTATATATATATGTGTGTGTGTTGTCACTTATATATATATATAGACTAATATGATTAAAATTTGTCACTTAGCTTATTGATATTACGTTTAAAATAATGACTTCAGAGTTTTCTAGACAGATCTGTCAGTCTACTCTTCAGGGGATATCAGCAATTTAAACATTTTCATATATTTCATCATACATACATACATATATATATATATATATATATATATATATATATATATATATATATATATAAGAGAGGGAGAGTTCAGATTTTATTGTTCTCACCTGATTTGGCTGGTAAAAATAATCTAAATTTCTAAGTGCATTAGTTGAAAGGTATTAAAATTTAAATAACTTAATTATGATATACAAGATGAAACATTGCAACATGACAATTTGATATAAGTTTGAAATGATATGTAAATTTTATCTTTTTATGTAAATTAAAAGCTAAACTAATTTTTTTTTTCAATTGATTTCTTTATAGTTAGAATATCATGTTTCATTAATAAAATTTAATGAAAATAAGTTTTATTTTGTTTGAAGTTGTTAAGCCATCATTTCATGATATGTCTGCTATATTTTGAGAGGATAAAATTTGTTTTATCAGATTTTAATTCATATAAATTTTCATAATACGTGTAATAATCAGTACAAACTAATTAAAGCCAAATTTCTTTTGAAATTCATGCATATGATTCAGTAAGTTTTGCTGGCTTAGAACACAAGCATTAATGTCAATATACTCTCATATCTTGAAAGAATTTGTGGTGTTTGCATCATTTCAACACACAGCCTCAAGTGTTTTAAACTTTTAAATACTTTCTGACTCAAAAGAAAATTGCATTTTAGTTTTCTATTAAATGACAGCAGGGCCCAAGGGAAATAACTGCAGCTATATTTATTGCATGGAGATCACTTAAAAATTAGCAAATGTTAGATTAAAGAAATGAATTTACAGGATAAATATATGCTTTCAAACTGATTTACGAAAATTATGTTTATTTTATATCAGAGCAAATATAAAATTTTAAAATGTTATTTATTTAGAAAATGATCAGTTTAAGTGAATTAAGAACTTTTTATTAATTTTTTTTTTTTAAATTTCAAAAATTTATGAAAGACTTTCATGTCTGATGCTACCAGAGTTTTAAGCCAGTGGGGAAAAGTGCTTTCATTATTAGTAAAAGTGATGGAGAATATGGAAACATCCAAGCTATTTTTGTAATGTAAAAGTTGTTTTGGTTTTAAATTTGATGGTCTTTTAATAATTCTAATATTAATAATATACTAATTGTGCCTTTTTGGGCTAATGTTTTGCACTGCCATCAAGTGGAAAGATTTTATTGAATCAATTAATACATCTGCTGGTAGGAAAGTTATGTCATGCTAGACAATTTTTCTCACCAGAATCTATCTTACATATCTATAAGTCTACCATTCATCCATTCTTTAAATATTGCTGCTACATCTGGTTTGGTTCTTCTGCTATATATTTAGAGATACTTGATAAAATCCAAAGAAGAATCTGCAATGATATTGGTCCTGATCTGGTAGATTGGCTTCAGTCACTTTCCCATTGCCAAAATATAACTTCCCTGTGCCTTTTCTATAAATAATTTCATGATAATTGTTCTGATGAACTTTTCCTTCTGGTACCAAGACTTTATGAATTTAAAAGCAGTAATAAAATGTTGGCAAGATCTCATCATTTTACAGTTCTATTCTAATAGTTTCTTCTAGTGAACTTCTCCATTGTGGAACTCTCTTCTGTTATCTTTTGTCTTCTTAATTCTCATTCTTTTATTGTCATCTCTCCTTAAGAATGTTTTCTTTTTCTCATATTCTCTCACACTCAGTAACCCTTTGCATCTTTCATCCCAAGCAAGGCAATAGCCTTGCTTGGGACGAAATGATTAAAAAATAATTCCTCAGTTGTTCCTGTTTTAGGAATTTTAAAAATTATTTCTACAATCTCTTTGAGAAAAATAAGTGTTTGGGTTAAAGATATTGAAGAACTTGGCATGAGGAATTATCGTTGTTTATAGTATTTACATGCTGACTATTATCCAGGGATATCTCATCTAGTTATTATAGCCTAATGGATAAAAGTGTTGGTTTATGAATTTAGTGATGTAGTAATTGTGAGTTCAATCACTGGGCCAAGCAGTATATACCTGGACTCTGTGGAAATAGGGCAGACAATATCTGAATAGTATTAAAAATAAGAACAAAATGAGCTATCCCCCAGACATGGGCAGTGAGTGGAACAAGAAGTGTCTACCAACCCCTGTAGATTAAATGAAAGGTTCAGTTCAGAATTCCCTCAGTATCTGTCTATATTTCTGAGATGAGGTATTATGTACATTATTTACATTATTCGGACTATTGTCCTCATCTTTGTCACCATATTTATTACAACGTTTCGGCTGTTGTACGCTTCGACCTTCTTCAGGTGGTTGGAATGTCAAACTGAACCCTTTATTTTGCTCACTGGATAATTTCCCTCTGAAAGTTCTCCACTGCCTTAACCGGGTATTGAACTCACACTCTTTGGGTCCTGTCACTGGATCGAATGAATGCCTTTATCCCCTGTGCCATGTGTCCTTGAATTCAGTTCAACATTCCAACCACCTGAAGAAGGCCGGAGCATACAACAGCCAAAACGTTGTAATAAATATGGTGACAAAGATGAGGACAATAGTCTGAATAATGTAAATAATGTCAGAATTCCCTGTAGATTACCTAGATCAGTACATACCTGATAAAATCCAGAGGGAACATCAGCCGAAATATTATGATAACAACAACAAAAATGGAAAGAAAAAGGACAATTTATTCATGGTTTTTGCTTTTATAGGTTGCATGACATCAGTCTTAGGAGTTTAAGTTTGACCAATAAGCAAGCTTCTCTTATTTACTGCATACTATGCACTGACAATAAGGAGTATCACTCCCGTTCTTCCTAGGGTTACTTCCTAAAATTCATTTTAATTCCAATAAGGTATATCCAGTGATGGGATTCAGTGAGTTCACATGAACCTGTTCTGGGAATTTTTTAAGCTCAGTAAACCCATTTTTATCTGCAACCTGTACAAACAAACTGCTAATTTTAGATTGTCTACAAATTGTAGTCGCATAATCGGTTGGGGATTTAAATTCAGGTGAATAAAGGTTAATACAAATTTCATGAACTGCTGAACTTACTAGAGCTAGATATTTGGAATATTCAGTTATTCCCTGGAAAGTTGCGGAAGAAAAACTGAATGGCTTCAGTAAAATCTTTCATCGCAGTATTTCCATTAATAATTTTGTGACTGTGGAAAATGACCTGAAAAACTTTCATAATCCTCTAATTCTTCAAAAAAAGTGAAAACTGTTAGCAGTATGATTGCCATCAGTTCTTCCAAAACAGAAAGAGGTTTTTCAAGAATGAATATTATATACTCAGATATACGAAGCCGCCTTACAGTGGAAAATTCAGTAAACTTGATGATAATCTTATTGATCTCCCTTTAGATTTATAGGATGCTACTCCTTTCATTACAACATAGCTTAGAAAAAAATCACAGTGCTAATGACAACAGAGTGAGGCAAAAAAATACTGAAGATTATGATGACAGTCAAGTGGTTATTTGGAAATATTTTAAACTGAAAGATCAGGAATAAAAGATTTTAAAGCATTTCTTTTAATTATTTTTCCTTTCAAAATGATAACATGCATTTGCTTTATTCCTAATTTATGTCTATATAATAAAGTATAGACTATGGAAAAATGAGGGAATTTTGAGACCTGTTGTTGAGAGAAGTCATTTTTTAAATTTTCAAATTGCACCACTGGGTACATCCCTAACAACATAAAATATGCAGATAACACTGTGTTGATGGTAGATGCTGAAAGAAAACTGCAGGAACTTCTAGAAAAGGTAGTGAAGGAAAAGTGGAAAGAAAGTTCTATCAATTTTAAGAAGCCAATGTTTGATTGTCAACAAGAGGAACAGTCCAAAATGTGAGTTATGAATTGGAAATGTTAAAATCGAGCAAGTACAGAAATTTAAATATCTGGCAAGTGTTTTAACAAATTTCTGGGACACGTAATGAGGAAAGAAGGCTTGGAGAATTTGACACTGATAGGATATACTGAAGGTTAGAGGGACAGATGAAAATACTAGGTAATTTACCTTATGTAATGAAGGGCAAAAGGCAACAGCATGTAACTTTTCTAACAAGCTTGTGTAAATGGATCACAGAACAGGGACTGGGTGGGGGGGATAGTAAATAGACAAACATTGCTAAGACCTACAAAGTATAGGAAGCTGTGAAGAACCATGATTATCTGTATATCTGTAAAAGTTTTATGAAAGGTTACCCATTAGTTTAAAGATACAAGAAATGTAGAAAGGAACAAATGGATTAATATAGTTTTGACAAAATCCAAATTTATTGTTTAGTTCGGATTTTATCAAAACTATTTTAACCAATTTTAAACTTCAATTTTTCGTAAGTTTTCATAAGTGGAGACTTGTTTGTGCTTATATTTCAAATAATACACAAAAAAATCTATTTTCTGACCATCAACATAAATTGTGATGTACACCCAGTCCATTTGCATCTGCTTGTTTTGCATCTTCAGATTCAATCAGTTAGATATTAGAATTTTAATTTTTAAATTCTGGCTGTATCATGTTGAAACATCAGCTCTCATCTGACCACCAAAATTAAGCAATGTCAAGCCTGGTTAGTACCTAGATGTGTGCCAACATGGGAATACCAGGTACTGTAAACTTGGGTGTATGGGGGGGGGGAGTAATAGATAATGGCTAGGAATGTGAAATTGAAGTGGTGAGTTCAAATACCAGTCAAGTTTGTTACTTTCACTTACATGTAAATACTCTTGGGAAAGGTATGAATCTATCTCTTCTCCTTCAGCTATGGGTTAAATAGTAGGATAGAATAGGTTCTATTGCCTTGGTTGATAAGAAATCAACCAGAGAAAGTAACAGCATGATCACCCAAGCATGTATCACGTATCACTTCTAAGGACACAATTCTAGAAAGGAAAACTTAAATTTTTCAGTTGTTGAAGGGAACCACATTGGAAGTCTATATCTCATGGAAAAATTAAATAATTATTAAAATTTGTTTTTTATTCATTGGTTTGATGCATACATCCACTGGTTAGACATATATCAGTTAAAAGGAGCTTTTTTGACCAATTAGAAGCAGTCCAGCACATATAAAATGAAGGTCTCTGAGTATAAATATATTTTTTCAGATGGCAATTACCAAAGACCTTTCTTTACAAAGCTAAAGAACCTATCAAGATAGTTACAGAATAAGTGGTAAGAAGCACAGTTTATAAAGATATGTGGAGAAGTTAATGGTTAATCCTAGACTTGAACAAGTTTGTCTGTGTTTGCTTTGAGAGAATAGATTAGGCTGTTCTTCTGATCAAAAAAGACATTTGTGATGATTTCTTAGATGGTTCCACAACACTGTGATAAATATGGCAACAAAGATGAGGACAATAGTCCGAATAATGTAAATAGTGTACATAATACCTCATCTCAGTATTATAGACAGATACTGAATGGTTCCACAACATTAAATGGGTTCACTTTTTTTATTACATCATTGCTAGCATTTAGCATGAACAAAGTAAAAGAGTACTGAACTTTTATGTAATATCAGTTCTCCTATGTGGCAGTGAATGGACAATCCTTACATATGAAGAAGAAATGTGGTTCTATAGAAAGATTATGAGAATACCATGAAGGAAACATGTGAGCAATGATGAAGTTTTAGAGAAAATGGAAACAAAAAGAACAATCATAATTAACATCAAGAAGCAATAATTGAAAATTCTAGGACACAATGAGGGATAGGAAACTCTAACACTAACAAGGACAGATTGAAGGGAAGAAGGATAGAGGAAAACAATGAATAACATTCTAAGTGAGCTTGAGTATATTGATGGCAGAACAAGGTTTAAGAAATATAACAAAAAGACAATATATTAAGAGCTACAAAAGACAGGAAATTGAGGAGAGCCATGATTGCTTAGGTCCTGAAGGGACACAGCACATAAAGAAGATTTTATGAAATAGTTTTCTTAAAATTCTTTCCAGGTTGTCTCTTTTGGCAAGGACGTTTTTAATGTTAACCAAGGGTATTTCATGGTTTGCATATAGATTTACAACCCTAACCCAGAGTTATTCAGGGTTTTTTTTTAATCATTTCACCCCATGTAAAGTGATAAAGCCACTAGGACACACTGAGTTAAAGTGGGAATTGAAGATTTTATTGCCAACAATAAAGGGAAAAGTTCATGAAGACAGAAGATGGATATTGACGTTGCATTTAAATTTTTGAAGATTGTTGGTGTTCACCCAATTCAAGGCCCAAGATCCACTCAAGATAGAGGGTTTCTGAATGAGGTTGTTGTATGAATGTAAGAGGAGGAGGCAAGAAGTGCAGATCATGAGTATATGGAGGAATAATTTTGGTCGACCCTAGACTTGTAGAGGTTAAGATTGTAGTCATCAGGGAAGTATCTACTTGGGATTCTATTCCATAATGTAGTGATTCTTAGAAAGAAGCTGTCCAAATGGAACTTCTTTCTTACTCATGGAATGTAAAAGGGAATGCGGATGATTCATCCTTGTGGATGTGGCATAGCAAATTTTAGCTTTTTAATGCATAGTTGATTTTTAATTGCTTTTTAAAAATTGAAGTCTCATCAATATTAGAAAGAGGTATAACATTTAGTGATCAAAATGTCTAGTTTCCTGAAGAAAAAAGTTTAAAAAGTATTTTAGAAATTTCAGTCTACATCAATACTGTTTGGTCAGTGAATGCCAAAAGTTTCTGGTATATAATGGTGAAATTATATACATACTTATTACTAATTTGTCTAAAATGAAGAAACTACAACTTGCATATAACAAGCAGTGTGAAACGGATTATATATCAAAAACTACTCAATGCATGTGCCTTGAAAAATGACATGCAGAGCACGTAAATATAATAAAGGAGCAAAAACACTTTATGTAATGACATACAACCTTGGTTTTGAGGTTATTTTCACCATTGTTTGTTTGTTGGGGTTTTAAATCAGATTTTTTTTTTCTTTTGTAGGACTTTTAAATGACGAGAGCATAAGGTAAGAAATTTTAGTTATTTTTTGCAAAAACATTGTTAACCAACCTTTTCATGACATTTAATAATAATTTGTATTTGTACTTAGAAAGTTGTATTGGTAAGGAAAATACTCATTTTACCGATATAGCTTTCACATCAATAGTCAAATATCTTTTGTATCTATTTTAACAATAATTTATAGTGAGATTTTGAAGACTATATTAATATTTACAGATATATTTTACCAAAGTATGGTTAAGTAGCAGTTACTTAAATTTTTAATAAGTTCCTATTTTGATTATAAGAGAATATTAGTAAGAAAATGTATTATTTTTTTTATATTTCTGACAAAGCATTGGTCAAGTTGTCCTTGTTTAATTGTTTTACTTTTAATAATAAATTAGATTTTTATTCTCTTTACTTAAAATGACTTTCAAATACATTGAAATTTTAAAATGAGTTGTATAAAACTTAGTGTGTTGCATAAAAAACAATTCTTCTAAAACATTTTTATAATAAATATTTTGTAAGTTTATATTCCTGGTGACATGTTGGTTTCTGCCAATAACATTTCATGAGAACTTTCAACTCAACCAACTAATTTCACTGCAAACGGAGTGATGATTGTGACAATAAGGATTCTTTTTTTCTGTTCAAAATTCTGTTGACTTTTTTTACCCAAGAAATTCTGGCACAACTGTGGATTTTTGTCTTGTTTGTTTTTTTTTTTGTTTTTTTTTCTTGTAATTCTCTTTATATATATTCATTTCCATTGTTCCATTTCCTCTTGGAACTTTTCTATGATTGTGTTTTTGTAAATTGTACATTTTATGTTGAAAATTGTTTGGCTTAAAGAATCTCCAGGTGAAAATTAACTGAACACACATCTGGAATAAAGCCTGTTTTCAGAAATGTATTGCCAAAGTGGATATAGCTTTCATTTTTTTTTTTTTATCTTGTATATTAGACTGTGAATTGAATTTCTATCAAATCTGCCATAATATACTGACAGTAATACTCAACTCCATTGGTAATTCGATGGGTGAGTTATAAATGCTACAACCCAATAAGTTTACTAATCATCAACAATATTATATCTGTTGTCTTGTCTTCTTTATTTTTCCTTTTCCTTTTGTTTAACTTCTTTTTCTTTCTCTTCTTCTTTTTCCTTTCTCTTTTTCTTTTTCCTTTTGCTTTCCTTTTCTCTTTTTTCCTTTTCTCTTTTTTCCTTTTCTCTTTTTTCCTTTTCTCTTTTTTCCTTTTCTCTTTTTTCTTTTTCTCTTTTTCCTTTTCTCTTTTTTCCTTTCCTCTTTTTTCCTTTTCTCTTTTTTCCTTTCCTCTTTTTTCCTTTCTCTTTTTTTCCTTTTCTCTTTTTTTCCTTTTCTCCCTTTTCTCCTTTTCTCTTTTTTCCTTTTCTCTTTTTTTCCTTTTCTCTTTTTTTCTTTTTTCTCTTTTTCCTTTTTCTTTTTTTCCTTTTCTCTTTTTTTTTTCTTTTTTCCTTTCTCTTTTTTCCCTTTCTCCTTTTTTTTTTTTCTTTTTTTTTCCTTTTCTTTTTTCCTTTTCTCTTTTTTCCTTTTCTTTTTTCTTTTTTCTTTTTTTCCTTTTCTCCTTTTTCCTTTTCTCTTTTTTTCCTTTTGCTTTTCTTTCTCTTTTTTCCTTTTCTCTTTTTTCCTTTTCTCTTTTTTCCTTTTCTCTTTTTTTCTTTTTCTTTATTTTCTTTTTTCTCTCTGCAATGAAATTTCTTTGTCAGTAAAAAGTGTGAAGAGAAAATTCAGTGCAATATTAAACATAAAGTTTAAGGAATAAGGTTAATACGATTCTTTTTATATAAATTCCTTCCTACACCTTCGTGAATTTATTTTAAAATGCAAATGAAAATAGCACAGGTTTTAAATTAATTTTGAACAAATTCTTCCTTTTGTTGTATTTATTTTAAATTTTGAGTTTACCCATTCTTTGTCTGTTAAGTGGCAAGAATATGAAATAAAGCTGAATAAAACTTCAGACAAAACTTGAACAAACATTGGCTGCTCATCTGTCATAGATGATGCCTTAACTAGTTAAGCTACCCAAGTTTTCATGATACTGCAAGGTTCTAATATCTAGTCTGTCTCTATATGTGTGTTCTGGTTTTATTCAACCTTGTATTGTTGACTGTCTACTAATAGTTCTAGATGTAATATTTTGGGATTCTAAAATACAGTATTTGTAACACGGCCGTTTAAAAGCCTTGTGTTTATCATATAGGAAAATCCAGCATGGTGCATAAACAAAATATTCAGCAAAAAATCTCATTATTCAGTAACATTTTAAACATTTTAAACACCTCATTGAATGTAAAGTTCTCAAAGAAAACCTATGCCAAACTGTTTTCCTGAATTCTTGATGACTTGGATGTCCAAAAATGACAACATCAAGATAATATAAGGCAAATGACCGTGAAAAACACAATTATGCACAACAAGTTTTTGATCAATCAGTAAACTTCTGGACCTTTTCAGCCAATGTTATAGGATCCAGACGGCTATTGTTTTCACATGGAATTATTCACTGGTAATTAATCTTCGATTTTGGCTGTGCAAAATGTCACTCGGCAGTTAGCATTAAGAAATTATGCCCAATTTTCTGAGAAAAATCACCTAT